CTGCAGGAGGATCTCTGCTCCCCCATGGACCCCCACGTGCTGCAGGAGGATCTCTGCTCCCCCATGGACCCCCACATGCTGCAGGGCACGGCTGCCTCACCACGGGCTGCAGGGGAACCTCAGCTCTGGTGCCTGGAGCACCTCCTGCCCCTCCTTCTGCACTGACTGTGGTGCCTGCAGAGCTGTTCCTATCGCATGTTCCCACTCCTCTTGTCTCAGGCCACAGTTACATCTGTGCAGTGTTTGTTTCCTTCTTATAAATATGTTATCAGAGGCATTACCACCATTGCCTGCCTTGGCCAGCAGCAGGTCTGTCCTGGAGCCACCTGGCATTGACTCCATTGGACACAGTGGAAGCTTCTGGCAGCTTCTCAAAGAAGCCACCACAGGAGCCTCCCACCCCCAGCTCCCAAAACATGGTCACAAAACCCAATACAAGATGTCACTTGTAAAAAGTGACCCCATCTACATGGGGTTATTTCCCATTCTGAGGAGGCAACGAAGCACTGATAAAATTGGAGCTATTTTGGTAACAGTTGAACAAGAGGCATCAGGTGGAACAGACACAGTGAAAATTTCTGGATAGTAAAAGGAAAATGGGGTGTATTCAGCACGAGCAGGGAAGAAATAAAATGCAATTTGTACATGTGTAAATGCCATTGCTAAAAAACACAAGTGTTCTTTTACCAAGTGTCTGAAATATTCAGGGTAACCACACTAACCAGGAGTGCATGTAAAACATTGTATTATCCTTGCTATTATTTTTTATTTGAATGAAAGCAAGTGTTTCCTCCTTTCCTCTTCAGTGATTGTCAGGAAAGACAAACCAGTGGCTTCAGGAGGGAAAAAAGAAAAATGAAGCCTTCAAATATACAATGAATTCTTGAGCTTCTGTTCAAAATTCATCCACTCCCTCTGTCTGCAATGGGAAGTGGAAGTGCCCAACTAACTGGGAGAGAAGGCACATCTCACCTGGGGTTTTCCAATAGACAACCAAACATTCTTCACACCAGCAGTATCCACTAAGGTAAGTTAGTTATGTATTTAAATTAATACAATACAATAAACCCACAACAAACAATGCAGCATCTTTAACTCCAAGTGAATCAACTCTGTCTGGATCATGAAAAACAAATGTGGAGAAGGTGCTCTTCAGCAGACATTTCTCACCAGCACAATGCAGGACCATTTTAACAGAAGTCTCACTTGGTCTGAGCTCTTCTGCTGTTTGAGTGTTGTTCACCCAGAACTTCAGAAACATGTTTCTAGTTTCCTCTCTTAAAATTGCACCTTTCAAAACAAGTTTTAAAAAAGAAACAGAAACAGCTAAACATTAAAGGCAGAAAAGGCAGAAAAGGGACTCAGGCACTGGACACATTTAAAAGATCAGTGAAGTTTAAATTTAAGCTTTTGCAAACAGGAGGTGGAAGGTGGGTAATGCTCTAATTGAGCTCAAAGGAAGCTGGTTTTATACTCCATTCTGCAATATAGAAACAAAACAAGAAGCTGAACTCTTAATTTTGATCCCACTAACAAGGAGATTACCCATCTGCTTCAAGGTAGACATGCTTTCAGTACCTTGCTGAATTAGACTTTATGTGATCTTTCAAAACACTGGACCAGTCTACAAAGTGAATGTTAGATAAATAAAAACCATGAAAAATAAGCACTGAGTCAATTAGCATGACAAAATTACAAGTTTATTGCAAAGTAAGATGAGTTTTTTCCCTCAACAGCACATGCCAGAACTGTTAAAATTTTACTTTCAGCTAAATGTTACTCAAAAATCATATCCCAGTTATGAGAACCAAACTTCATGTGTGTATGTGCATTTACTTTCACAAAAGACTACCCTGCATTTATTTATTAATGATGGGCTTATCCAAATATTTTAAACTAAGTATTTGAAGGAAATCCTTAATAAGTGATTCCTTAGCCAATTTATAGTTTAAGTATATTGGGAATAAACCAGGGAGTCAATTAAAAAAAAAAAAAAAGAGGACTCAACACTGCTCATTATCACAGTATAATCCAGTTTGGAACATTCTGCTTTGGCAAATTAATTACCACAGTTAAACAAGACAGGAAATCAGTCCATGTCTTCAACTGGAGAAATTCCTTCCTTTTTTTCTAGTTTGGATACCTGCAAGTAAAAAAGGAAACCAATTCAACAGTAAAAATGAGCTTGCATTTAATGTCTCCTGTCTTTTCAGACTTCCATCACAAAACAGTGTGGAGCCCAGATTTACCAGGAACCAACAGTGGGATACACTCCAGGGCACAGCTGAGCTGAACAGGGTGTTAGCTGCTGTTAAAAGGTGAAGCTTTCTTCCCACCCACCCCTCCCTTTGGCTGCCTGCTTCCATCACCTCCAAGTTTTTTGTCACTTTGGTGACTTCATTTGGCTGCCCAAGGAGTGAGACAGGCACCAAAGCCATCTCAGAAGCTGGGAGAAACAGGGAGGCAGGCAAGACTGCCCTTTCAGTGACAGCTGTCAGAGCAGATCAGGTTGTAAACCTGGAATCTTGCCCCTAACAGAGAGCCCAGAATAATTAACATGACCACAGGAAATGCTTTTCATACTCACAGAGTTCTATAAAACTGACCTTCACTGTTCTTAAAGCTTAAAATTACTTTTATTAAGCTAAGATGTTGTTAAGGATAACAATATAAATAGTTTCAGAAAGGATTCTACAAACTCAGGGAGAACAGACCAAGAGCACAAACTAAACACAGTGTTCTGCATGTTACCTCTAACTCTGGAAAATTCTACTCCATATATCCCCTATGAGGATATAGAGGGAGAATCATATAATAAATTCCCTGTTCTTATGTTCCTCCATCAGTATCTGCCACTGGTTGTGAAAGACACACAAATATCAGGTTTTCAGAAGGCTGATAAAACTTTTGGTCATTGTGGAATGACCAGTAAACACTGGAAAAAGCAGAAGGCAGCCTGCAGACACCCGATCATTGGGGGTGGATGTGCAACTTGTCCTCTGTTCCTCCAAATTATGCCACCTATTGAAATCCCAATGAACATTTTGGCATCTAGAAGTTGTAAAAAGTGCATGCTCGAGCCACAAATCCTTTATTTCAGACACAACTCCAAGGCAGAAGCTACAGACATAGCTACTGGTGCTCTAAACCACTAGAAAGTTCACCCCCTGGGTGGAACCCTCAGTTAGGTAGAGCTGAATGACACTAAGACTCCAAGGGCACATCTGGCAATTCCCAGCAAACACTCTGATCTAAACTTCCTCTTACCTGTTCCTTCTGCAGCAAATACAAAGGGAATTTTGCACTTAAAAAGAGCAGACAACTAAACTGGTTTGACTACACTACAAACATCCAAAGCAGAAAAACTCTTTCCACAAATCCAAAGGGTTTCTCCATCATTAGCACTCCAAGCTGTTTCCATTCACAAATGAGCTCGACCTGTAATGTGACTCTTCTACAGGAAAACCTGGCATTACCTAAATAAAGGTGGGGTTTATGTCGAGTTTATGACTTATTTTCACAGGCTTGTTTACTACACCAGAAAAACCTTAAGTGCAGATTAAGTCCCAGGAGCAGAACTCCCAGTGAGACATTGTCCTAGAGAGTGACTGTCTTCAGAAATACAATTGTGCTGAACACACACAGTAAGAGGAAACCACATTCCCTTTCCTGAATAGGGCAAGTTATTATTTTCCAGTCTTGCAAAAAGCTAAGTGAGTTATCAGCTCAGGTTACTGCTGAACTCTTATCAGTCCAGGTTACTGTTGCCTGCAGGCCTGACTCCCAGTTTTCAGGAATAAGTTGCAATGGCCAGCACCCTTGCCCAGCACAACTGCTATTACATACAAATCTAGTTAAAGAGTGTAACAAGATCCTGCATCATTAAAAGATCTTAATCACATTTACTGTAAGCATAAAATAATTACATTTTGGTCCAGACCCTACAAAAATATTTTACCCAACTCCCACTGAGGCCAAAAGAACTTTTGTCCTGGACTTCAGTGGGAAAAAGTCCAAAATGATGGAAAAAAACCCCCACCATACAGACCTACAATAAAGTACTGCACATGGTAGCTTTTATCCCAGGTTTCAAGGTAATAAAACACTATTACAACATGTCTGGCATTTCACAGAAGAAGGAATTAATATTTTATTACATACATAAACATATTCTTAAAAGCAACTGGAGTGTAAAATCTCTGGCAGAAAAACTTTCAAGGTGCTAAAATCCTTCACCCCAGCACTTTTGCCATAAAAGAGGCATTAAAAAAGAGTTTGAAGGGTTGGCTAAAAACTACAAAAAGTTTGGTTCTTGTAAATGCCTGAGCCCTTCCACACCTCACAGTGCTCAAACTAAGAATGGTACCGTTACTGTTGCTGTGTTTGAGCAAATATGCACTTGTGAGTCAACCAAAGTGAGGTTTAAAAAAGCAACTGTTGCAGAAGCAGCTGGGAAAAGCATTCACAGTGAATTGCTGCCTCTTATTGGCTTTCCCCACACAGATGTAGGTCAAGTCTTAATTCTGCAATTAGACAGATCCCTTCAGACGGGTCCTGAACTGAAAGTGAAACACATAAGCCTGTTGTCCTGACTAGCACAAGACTCCATGAGTTTGGGTACACTTATTAGTTCCTGGCCTCAGTAGATATATTCTTTTTTTCCTTGTTTTCATAGCATTATGACAATAAAAAAAAACCCACCCAAACCAAACAGCCTACACTGAAAGCAGAGGATTCTTGGCCTCGCAGTTACGTGAAAACAACAATCACAGTTATTTCTGTGGTAACTAAATTGCCCTAAATGCTCGTGGTCTTGTGCTGGAGATTCACTGGAACCAGGCTCAACCCACTGTGAGGATTTTAGATACAAACCCATGCAAGAATAAGAGGGCATTTACCTGTTTGTCTATACACCTGAACTGCCAGGACCACGTGGTGTTGTAAAGGAAAGGCCTCAGGTCAAACCTGTTGTCGTCAGGGCTGTAGTTTTCAGCGTGGTAGGAAGGAGTGAGGGTGGTCATTTTATGCCTGTTAACTGAATACATCCTGAAGAAATGCTTGACCTTGGATGCCACCTGGTGTACAAAGAATATAGCCCTTAATCAGATGAAGTTTCTTAGTATTTAAAAGATTTAGAGGAGAAGAGTATTTTGGAGAGTGTGTTCTACCATTACACAGTGTAGATATTCTTCCAGAGCAAGAGCCATTTTTTGGTCTCAGAACACATAACCAAAGGCTTCAAGACTAGTTGGCCATCTATATTTCAGAGAACAATTCTCCCTTGAAGGTGTCATTCTGAAGCAATTATTTTCAAATTACCCAATTACTGTTTTAACAATTTGCAACACAGACAACAAGCTCCATTTAAGAGACGCAGACCAGCTCTTGCAGCATATTCTAATACACAAAATAATGAAAATATCCCTTTCAGTTAAAAGGAACTTGACCTTTCTCCAAACATTTCAGCAAAAACATTATCTTATTTTTATTTTTTTGTTGTTGTTACTTTTGGTATATTACCTCTCTTGGAGTACAAACTTCCTTCCACATATTAATCAGCTTGCAGAACATACTGTATGGTCCAGCCTTTGCAATTTTTCTTAATTTGCCATAGATGGAGAGCTCTGCATATGTCATCCCCATATCTGCCTGAAAACACACACACAGGAAGTCACTGAAAATCTTAACTATGGAAACTATAATTAATAGTTTTATGGAGCAATTAATTAATTACCTCATCAGTTTGAGCCACTTGTCCGTCCACCAGGGGCTCTAACTCTGCAGTGGGTGGAGCTGACATGATACTGTAAGGAAAAGGTAAAAGGAAAAACATGAATTCTATCCAGTCTTATGAGTGTCAGTTAACAAAACAGTCTGCTTTGTTAAAAAAAAAATCAAATGCTCTATTCAGAACTTTTTCAGGGCATAAGCTGCTAAAGGACTAGATAACTAAAGAAGTGGTACCTGCAAGCTAGTCCAGGTTTAAAAAACAAAGCATCTGGTTCAAACAGGTCCTTCAGTGGCATTAACCCCACAAATGCTTGCACAGGGTTGTGCAAGCCCACACATTTCAGAACAGAGAGGTGTGCAGAATACTTGGTTAGCACTGGAAGTACTACTGCAGCTTAGCTCTGGTGGCAGAGAAAACTAAAGCATAAAGCTCAAAATATGCTGCAAACACAGCCAGTGAACCACTGCTCACCTTCTGAGGGCTGTGAGCTGGAAGTTTTCAATGCAATACTGGATGAAGTTCTTCAAATCAGTCTTGCTGATGCCACCAATGGGATTGATGTCAGCACTGGAGCAATCGTACTTCGTCAGGTAGCCCCGGAGACTGAGCCAGAGAGGGAATTTTATATTGGCATTGAAAATAATAATGTAGCTGTAGTATAACATGTGATCATTTATACCATATAAATAGGAATTTATATGCTGAAGAAAGAAAGGGAGGAACAGATTGCACATTGTTAATGTATTTATACCTAAAGGGCAAACATGTTCAGCTGCAACAGGGCTATCCTAAAGCCATGGAACTGCCTGCAGAAGGTATTTTAAACAATTATGAAGCACTGCCAAGCTGCCCACGCTAAGGCAATATATCTGATGCAAATACCACGCTGACTAATTAACAAAATAAATCCCAAAACACCCACAGAACCAGTACACTGTACTCTCACAGCTTTAGAGGTTAACAATCCCACAGTCCTACAGGGATTGCTTTAATCTTCAAATACTCAGCTCTAATAACTCCAGAGTTTAAAATCTCTTTTTCAACTCAAAGTTCACACCTAAATTCCTAATCCAGTAATTGAAAATGCCACAAATTGGGAAGTTAACCTAGTGAATGCACAGGGCAAGCTCTACTGAAAACAGCATATTACTGGAAAGCTATAGCAATACTTTGGCTAAACTTCTGAAAAACAAACAATTTTCCATTCAGGCTGATTCTACTATTTCAACTAATTTCACTGTTATCAGTGTATTCTTAGGTTTTTTACCTCTTCTCAGTAACAACCTACACTGGGATTTGGTAAAGTTGCCAGGAAATGCAGTGACCTGGGTTTAGATTTCTAATTTTCACCCACCTTTCATCCACATTGGCAGATCCCAGCACCAGCAGTCCCCCTGGCATCCCACGAGCCCACAGTGTCAGCTGAGCAAACAGGTAGGCAAGGACCATTCTTATTCTAGCCTGCAAAGCAAAATGAAAGAGAAATCAAGTTTACAAAGCAGAGTTAATTTCTCCCCAGTCACTTTTATTAATCAGTTCCCTAAAAAAACCCCATAAAGAACAAAATGTGAGTGGTGGTACTGCATGAACAGCGGTCTTGTGGAGAGGATGCTGAACACACTTAGTAAAGCCAGGTTCAGTATCTGCCACTGCCACAGACTTCCATGACTGAGCAAGTTTGTTCTGCTCTGAACTGCAGAACGGGGAGCAGTTGCCATTTTCTACCTCCTACAAGGATCCACAAGGGATGAAGTGTGCAGATAAACCATCTGTCTACCACCCTGCCTACTTTTACAGAGTAAATAAATCCCTTTATTCAAATACGTGACATTTGTAACAAATTCACTTTGCTTTTTTGTCCCCTTTCTGAAATTCAGCTTTTTCCAAGGAAAAATAAAAAATATACCAAGGTTTGGTATTATTTGGTAATAATACCAAACCAACCTGGGATTCAGCCTCCAGCTCCAGCCACAACTGTGGTGTTAAGCAACTCATGACACTCTGTGACTAAAGCCTATCCAAAGAGCTGATCAAAGATCCAATGTTTGCTTCCAGAGGAGACAGCTGGATTTCTCCAGTAATAGAGGGGAGAAAGATCAAGTCCTCAAACTAACAGAAAACTACCAAATAGGATGACCAACACTGAGCCAGAATTGAAGCAGAGTTGCTGGTTGGATTGGAAGCTTTTTAGAATAGGCCAAAATAAGCCTAATGAAGATTAAGTACCTCCTGATGTTAAAAAAAAAAGAAAAAAAAATATTAAAATATTCTCTTCTACTTTCTAAAACCAAGGACATCTAGGAATTGAAATAGGTAAGCTTGATATCTCCCTCAGAGACTTTTAGAGGCTGCCAACATTCATCAGGGGAAAGTGTACAGCAGCAGTATTTTTGGGTCTTGACCTGCCACAATCCTGCTGGACTCAGACTTGCCTGTTGAGATACTTTGCTGCTTGTTTTCCTGACCTGGCAACTGTCTGTTGGGATGCTTTTCTAAAAGGCACCTAGACCAGTGCTGCTGATGGGATACAGGCAGATGCTCTTCCTTCCTGACCCTCCTACAGAAGTCATAAACAACTGGTCTCCTCCTGAATTATGTGAGACTGTAGATTTCTGCTGCAGACAAGCATTTATTTACTGGGAAGCCCACGAATCTTCAGGGACATACCACAAGTTCAGGTTGGTATTTTACCATTTTGTACTCTAAAAAAAAACCAAAACCACAACCAAGAGGGTCTGACCTGATTCAGCCTCCACACACCTGCACATTCTGCAGTGCTAAGCTTTCTCTGCTGCTCCCTCCGTAGACAGAAAATCGGGGAGTTCGACCTGTCACCATGCTGAAAATTCCCACAACAGCTTTCACAGCCACATCTATGTTCAGGTTGATGTGATAGCTGAGAAGAATTCAAGCAGAAGTGACTCAACCAGCACAATCTGGCTACATAAAATAGCATTAAAAAGCAAAAAAACCCACCCATCATGTGATGTTTTAAGGCTGCCAGATCTGGTAGGAAGAAATTTAGGAAAGAACAACACTTTCCAGAGGCTGTGCTTTGCCAAACACTTTTAAGTTTGCCTCACATTAACACTTAAATAATATCTGTAGTAATCCTACTTAACACACCTCCTATTCCTCTTATTTTTTCCCATTTTAGAATTTGCAAGTTTGAGATGAAAGTCTTTGCCAGAACACGTGTTGTTTTTTTTTTCCCCCCCAGCTTGTACCTGCCTATTTGCTCAGCCAGAAGTTTTGCCCTGTTGCAGGTGTCCTGGGAGGAATTCTCACTGGCCATGTAGCACGTGGTAAAGACACGCTTGCAGAATTCCCGAGGATCCTCGGGGATGTAGGTCTCGTCGTGGACAATCCTTCGGGCATCAGCCAGCACATCTGCATCTGAGGGCAGGGCAAAGGAACACAGCAAGAGGGCAAATTGTTGCACTCCTGCTACCCAGGACATGCAAATACCTTGTGCCTTCCTTGTATTCCAGTTCAGCTTCACACCAAATGAGATGATTCCATCGTCTAACTCCCCAGACAAAATTTCAGGGATCAAATAAAAGAATTACTGGGTTTGATTCTGATTTTGGACATGGAAATATTAAATCCTTTTGATCTATTAAAGAATCTTCGTAGAAAACCTAACCCAATATGTAAAAAGGTTTAGTCAAATACAAAAAGTCTATTTAAAGCCAGTTTTAGAGCTTGAACCATGCCTAACCATGCCGATATTAACAGAAGGAGAAAACTTTCAGGATAAACTGAAACCCCAAAACTACATCAGCAACGAATAATACTCCAGACAGAAACCAGTCTGAGTTCCACATCCAATTCTTGAACCCAAAATGAAAACTACTAAGCTAATTCAAAAAATCTGAACCTGCACATAGGTTTTTTGCTTGGAATTTCAGAGGAGATGCAAAGGACTCCATTGGAACAACTGGGAAGGAGTCTGCCAACGATGACCTCTTGCATCTACTACACCCAGATAATATTAACTTGTCTGTAACCATTAGTGAGCATGGCTGGCCAGACACACAGATCTACTTACTTCCATTCTTGACTGCCAGGCAAACCTGGTGACACATGGAATACACTATGCAGGCTGTAGCAGAGCTGTCGATTCCACCACTAAGAGGTAGGAGAAATCCTGCCTTGAAAATAGAGCAAGGAAGATGTTCCATGTAGCAAAATCAGAAAAAAAAAATACACTGTACTATTTAGAAACACATCTTGTAGTGAAAGAATGACAGGTGCATTGTTCAAGTTGCTTATATTCTACTGGGGAAAAGCAAAATAAACTCTCCTCAACTGGATAATAAAACAAGTAGTCAGTGTAAATCCTTTGGCTAGAAAAACTTCCAGTAAGTCTTTACCCTCTAGTAAGAAAGAAGAGATAATAAAAATGATTACTTTTTCATATATACTTTACTATTAAACTGAATTATGAGTTCACATCACTCTGCTTATTTTAGACATCTCCATTATACCATTCCAATATTTTCCTTACTGAAAAACAGTAAGAAGAAATCCCCTTTGTTAGGTAAGCTTGACTTGCAAAGAAAAGCACGATTCCTAAGGGAAAGGTGCAAAGAGTACACTGAAGTCACATTTGGAATACAATTTTTAAGTCTGAATGAGCTACCAGTGAAAAACTCTAACCTTGAACCTTGGACTAACATCCCTTTGCATTCCCAGCTGCACAGGATTGCAATGTGCCCTGTCCCTGTGGCACAGAAGACGATGTGTAACCAAGGCAAAGAACAAAACCAATTATTTTACCTGTTTGCTGCGCCTTAAATAGTCCCAAAGCCAACATGCAGGTCCAAGGCTGAAATTACAGAACAGGATTATTCTTAGAGGGTTGTGGAATAATACCTAAGCAAGTCAACATATTTCCTGTGATCTTCCAATGAGACACTTTCTTTACTTAAATCTAAGTAACATCTTATGATTACCTCTTTCTTTGGTTTGTTTGAGTTTTGGTTGGTTTTTTTGTTTTGGTTTGTTTTTAATCAAAATAATTTTCAAGCAACAGATTCAGTGTATGTTTACCTGATCTCCTCCTCAGGACTGTGATATCTCCACTGGATTGGCATACAGGTAGGTACAGCTACATCATCAGGACATGACAGAGCAAAATTCACTTTCACCCTGGGATAAGGATTTGCTTTACTTGCCTAAGCAACAGTACAGAAGAATTCGTAAGATATCGATTTTAAAGCAGCATATACCTATAAAACATCAGATCCACAGAACATTGTGAAAAATCAAGACATGCAAATACTTTTTAAATTCAGTAACTATTCAAACTTGGCAGAGTTTAGCAACACAACCTCCCCAAAGGATTCTTACCGCCAGGTTACGGGATGAAATCTCTGCTCTGTAACTTCGGACATCCTCCAAGTCCAGAGTGGCAACCAGCACCTCCTGTGGAAAGGCTTTCAATGTCAGATCCTTCCACACAAACACATGAACAATGCTTGGCAGGCCAGGACTATAATAAAAAAGAGTCGGGGAAATTTTCCACACGGATTTTTATGCTCACTCCACAGGCCATCTCTGGCTCAGCAGAATTCCTTAGATTAAAGAGGGAGCACGACCAATCCACCCACAAACCACAACAAATTTATGGCTCTTGTCAGATGGCTGAACAAAAGGTTCACCAGAAAGCTGTGGCAAAGGACAAGGCAAGAAGCACACTGGGGAAAGAGATGGATTTGGCACATAATGTGAGGAAGCCTGCAATTTTGGTGACAAATCTACTGAGAAGGCGCTTTCTGAAGTAGAGCTCAACCTATGAAACCTTTTGTCTCAAAACTGGGTTATAATTAGAACATTGCAACCATTGCCCTTTTTTTCTTTAGATAAGGGACTTTAAATTAACAGGGTCTCTCCCCCACCTAGTGATTGCACACAAAAACATTTTCATGAAGTTCTTCGACTGTGACAGCTCTTCCTCCCTCACAAAAGCAGGAGAGCTACTGCAGATCAGATCTGGGCAATCTGACTAAGAAAAAAGCTTGGATCCAGTTGAATAGCATAGTTAAAATACATCTTTTTTTAGTCTAGGGACCTGGGCCCAGTGTCTGGAATGTCTGGAACACTGAGTGTTCACCATGTGTTGAGCATCAAGGTAGCCTTACTAATTTCAGCTGTAACCAGCAGCTCTGGGGTGGATATATTACCACATCATCCAGTGAGAACTGGGATCCTTGTGCAACTGTTTCTCCATTCATGGAAATCATGGCACAGCCATCATAATACAGACGATCACCATCACAGCCCTTCTGGTTTGCGAAAATGTATATTCCACCATTCTGGGAAGGAAACATGCAGGAAACAAGGAAAAATGCTGTTCAGAACACAGCACCTGACAGGGTGTTAAAAGACAAAATGTTATCTCTGTTCCTGCCCTTCTTACAGTCTTCTTTGTACCTTGTAAATGATTTAAGGCTGGGGCTCTCCCTTGTCTTTTGCAAAGGTACTTTGCATGTGATGTGCATGACAGAAACAAGTAATGACATGGAGTAAATGCAGCGAGTGAGCTCTGTCCCTTTCACAGAGTTGAAAGTCTTCTATTAGCAGCAAGAATAGCCCAATAGAGAGGGCAGAACTTCCAAACTGAAATTCTAAGTTCAAATTGAGATTAAGAAAAGCGGGAAGATGATGACAGAAGCTGTGTTTGGATATCTGAAGACAGAGCAGATACTGTTAAATATAACCAAAGCCTGTTAAATTACAATGGTCAAGCAGTTGCACATTTTTCACACTGTAATGTATACTCATTGCTTTATTTTTGTCCCCATCACTATCAGCTAGGATTACAGTCCAATTACTTGATGTCTTCTTTTCTTTAAAACAAACAGAACCCCCGAAGCAGAAAAATATTTTTTTAAGTAAGAAGATAACAGAGAAAAATTAAGGCTGAGTTTAAACACTGATTTTTATTTCCCCTTCCTGATATAGTTAATGATATTTCCCCAACACAACGTTGCTATGTGAATGAAAATTGGGAAAGAAACCGCCATTTTCAGGAAATGAAAGAGACTTTTGGATGATTTTTATATGTTGACTGTCAGGGCCCCCACACTCCTTCTATGTCCTGCCACAGGAGAGGAGACTGTCCTGAAAAAAAAAAGAGGTGCATAACCTTTTTTGGATATTAAAATTAATACCTTTGCTGTGGCAGAATTCACCAAATCCACTCGGGTGTGAGCCTTTCGCAGCACGTGGTGACTCCCAGAAGAGTTGGTGAAGATTTCCACACCATCAAGTCCCATGTCAATATGAGGGCTGTCAAAGCAACATGGATACACAGGGCAAGGTCAGCTGTGGGACCATTTTCCTTGTCTCTTAATAAATCCAAAAACAGAACCACAAAAAGGAGATTTTTTGCTGCCTTTTTTTTTTTTTTTTGACAATGTCCTAAGAAAGGAATACTGAAAAAAAAAATCACATTTTTGACAAACCACACCTTCTGCAGTTACAAGAAAATTAATATCTGTAACTGTGAGATTTGGAAATATATCAGGAACATTTTGTTTATTTTGTAAACAGCTTTCATGGTGCCACATCTCTACTCCACCCCTTTGTGAAAGGGATCTTCTTTGTCATTAGGAAGAACTTTAAAATTGTAACAGGAATTAAAACAATAACAGGAAATACTACTTAGGTTAATAGGCTTTGCTTTTCCTTAGTGACTATTTGTTGCTTCCTTATGCACTGTGTGATGCTGGTTAAAAAAGAAAGCAGCCAGGACTAAGCTAACAGCTGAATTTTTAAGAAAAGTGAATTTTTAAGAAAAGTGATGTTGCCTAGAAGCCTGTGCTCTGCCTTGTCAAATAGAAGAGAGCTCAATTTGTCTGTGAAGAGGAGTGGCTTAGAGAAGTTGGTCAAATCCAAGGCTAACAGGAATAAAGTAATTAAAAGACTTAATCTCAAAATTCTGAGACTATGTACAGTGAGTAGGAATAATACAAAGTTATGATTGCTGGACAAAATCCATACTAAAAATTGATACAAAATACCTTTGAGCCTCGATCAAGTTACAGGGACAGATCCAGAGAGGACATTTCAGCCTCAGGCTGAGCTAAAAGCTGAACAGTGTCTGGATTGTGAGCACTACAGTTTACCTGTCATTTGTTTCCTCAGGTCACTTCTTTCATTCTGGTTCTTTTTGTATCTCTCTCCTACCTTCTGTTTCTAATTAATTTAGCTTAACCACCCACATTTCTTGGCCATCCTGCACCTAGCCTAGTGACATCTTTCCCACAATTTATTTATTGCTCCTAATTATATTTTAGCTTACTGTCACTTTCTGAAAGATAAATTACATAGAAGAATAATAAGCAGATCTTTTCAAACATTTATTTCAGGCAGGCCCAGGGTATGTTTTAGTTTATTTTTCATTTCCTTTTCCCCTTTTACCTATTTGGTGTCCAGAGTTCTTCACACATTTCTGCCCCTAGGCAGGTATCTTTGGTTGCTAGCACTGCATCCCCAAAAGGAACAGTTTCCTGGGAAGAAACAAGAACATCCTTATACACATGTAATACAAGAATCTATTCAATTCAAAAAGTTAACTACAAATCTTAAAAAAATATAAAAATGGAATACCCATGCGAAATGAGTGACACAATATCAATCACATTACACCTTCCTTCTTTTTGTACCAAGTTTAATAAAAAAAAAAAAAGCTCTAAATTGCAAATTTCTGGATTGGTGGGAATTTTATGTTGAAATTTCAGTAGTATCCAGATCCAGTGCTTTGCTTCTATCTACAAAACAGAGACTGTTTCATGCTGTGAATCACATTCCTGCTTAAGTGGAAAATACCCTAAATTTTAGATCCTTCTGAATCAAGAAGGCCAAATGATTTTTTTTAGTTTTATTTCTTTTACTTAAAAACACATACCCAATTCCAGTCTCAAGCACAGATAAATGCAGTACCAGAATTGTGCAAAATAAGAAAATCAAGGTCCTGTATACTCAAATAACTGAGGCTGATTTTAAATTTGCTTGCTTTGTTGCCACATGCTAACATACAAAAGGTTAAATTATGCTCTCATTAAATGTAACTGAGAACTACTGAGACCTATGAATTTGCAACATGACTGGCAGCAGAATTTGATGTGCTGCAGTTTTTAATTGCTGACTGTGGGGGACACTAAAGTTAAAAAAAAGCAAAAAAAGCAACCTACCTGTCCAGTCACTTCCTGAATTATTCTGGGTAGAAAATATTCCTCCACGTGCCTAAAGCAAGTTTATAGATTGTGAATGCATTAGGTAAATCACAGCATAAAAAACTTACTCCACATTCTGACACCTTCTAACACTGATTAAAGAAACTGTACTGAAGTTGTACAGCGTTCTATGTGTTTAAAAATAAAAAAAGATATTTAAATAATAAAAAAGATTTTTAAATTAAAAAAATATTTAAAGTATTTATTGCAGTTAAATAAATCAGAAATGTTAAGATTATAACCTTGCAAGTTATAGCTCTTTGCTTCAGAAATGCATGGTAAACAATGCTCCATCCTAGCTAGAAACTAGACCTGTAAAAAACAGACCATTATTTGCTGCAGAGATTTCAATTCTGCTGCTGCAGCTTCAAACAGCTGTGTTTTTAAACACAGTTTTAACAGTCACCAGCATACCTTGCTTTGCTCCACGGGGTGAACCACCTGAGTTCTCTGTAGTTTCCTGCATTTGCCAATGCTATTTTTGGTCTGATCAGAAGAATTTTCCTTAAATCACAAAACAGAACAGGAAGGGCAAGTTAAGACCTGATGTACAGCCAGACGAGGCTATATCTGAACACTGGTTGAGATCAACTCTTTTTTTTTTTCCTATTATGATGTACATTGAATAATTACTACATGCAAACACTTTTCAATTTTCTGTTTGCAGACTCAAGGGGTTTTTCTTAAGTCTTTCAAGAACCAGTGAGAATTTAGTTTCTATAAATCCAGAAAAAAAAAGAGATAGTGAAAAACATTAATTCTCTCTCAAAATTTAGTAGATAAACTCCATCAGTCTACATAGCACTGAAGAATCCTTCTTGAAGGCCAAATAGCTGTCTGAAAGGATACATTAATGTGTTATACCACAAAACATGTAAAAAACTTACTTATTTAGAAAGATCACCCGACAGTTGTAGCGAACATTTCTGTGCAGAACAGGCCTGTGAAAAGAAGAAGCAGTTAGCAGTGACTAAGCTCATTAAATGAAATTATAAAAGCTACAGAATCTACTTCACTGCACAAAACCTATTTTTAAGACCTCACTAAAAGGAATTAAGCAGAACAATATATCAAGTTTTAGCTTCTAATTTTTTTAATTCAAGTAGTTGTTTGAAAAAAAAAATAAAAATCAGAGTTACTGACTATCCTGTCAGTCTCAGATGTGTCAACTACTACCCAAGCAGTGGCATGCCTTAGGAACACAAGCAGACCAGAAGAGTCCCCTTGGCTGGGCCAACTTATTTAGTCAAATCTGACTTCCCATGATATCACCAACCCAGTTCAAAACCAATTACACATTTAAATCAATACTAACACCTCGGTGTACGTGTTAATTTTACAGTAATAATTTATCACTGGTCACTGTCAGCACATGACTCACAATGGTTTCGGTGATTTTGACACACACTTAGGTTGCTTAAAGATGTCTGTCAGTCAAAGCAAGTCACCTGAGCCCCAGCATTCCTAAAAGACAGTCAATTTATAAAGCCCTTGGTGCTACATCCAACACAAAATCTGAGCTGGGCCCAGCTGTTAGGGTTCCAAATAAATAACAAATATCCTATTTGTCTCCTGAAGGGCTCAACCACCCGAAATCTTTAAAAGGATCATCTTTCAGAAACTGTTTCCCATGTTGCAGTCCTAGTCACGGTAATTAAGAGGGAAAGTAGTGCAGTTCCTAAGATGCATTTGAAAGTTTGCTGCAGAGCCCTCGCTATCCAGAAACACGGCAGAGGCAGCATTCCCTGAAGACCTACCCCTTTATCACATGTACACAAAAAAAGCCCCAAAACTTACATTCCCACATCACAGATAATATCTTGAGTAGCTGGAGACTCCAAAAGCTTTTCCAGAACTTGAAAGGAATGCAGGAGCGTGTCAGACTCATAATAGTGATCCGAGCAGCCGTAACCACTGCATACAAAAACAATAAGAAATCAAAAATTCAGCTAATTCAGCACCGGAGGTGAAGAACCAGAACTACTTCAGACTGGGTGAACATTTCACCCACACAGGTAATTTATACAGAAAATGAGGAAGGAGCGCTGCCAGCATCATCCCTACTGACAGCATTTAAAACTCCCTGGCGTTTTACATCGCCCCACGACATTCCTTTCAAGGGCAGCATTCAGGCAGAATTCAAAGCGCCACATTTTCTCTGAAGGGAAACTCGCCGAAGTCGGTTAAAAAAATCACCGGTATCGGTCAGGTCGCCAAGCCAAACCAATCCTGTGCTCGCAGCTCCAGCGCTCTTCTCAGCGCCGACAGCCGCACGCTTGAAGTACTTACTGAGCTTTGGGCACTGCGGGGCTGCGGGGCTGGTTTTCCTGCTCTGTTTTTTCACGATTAACCGGGAACGCAGCGAGCCAACAAAGCGCTCTTACCAGATCTCGAGCTCCGGGCCCAGCCGGTACCGCGCTCCTCTGCTCCTGGCGATGGCGATACCTGCAAGAGCGGGGGGGTAAAGCCCGGCCCTGCCCGGGGCTCCGGGACAGGCACGGGGAACGTGAGGGAGGCAGGGAGGGAAGGCAAGGAACGGAGGGAAGGAAGGGGAGAAAGAAGGAA